GATCTCTGTTTTCGGTTATCTTGTTTTGGTGACCTCAGTCTTATCCCTGGATCACGCCTTTTCTGTCGGCGAGGGTCGCTGTCCAGCCCCCTTCGCGGCTCCACCGCACCCACTAATTATCGAATTGTTACTCATTCGGAATCTGTCTAGTGTCTACAATCAAGTCTCCCTCTCTTCGGCACCAGGGTAGGTGGGCGGAGGTTTGTAACGCCAACTCAAAACACCATTTTCCCGGTTCCCTGGGCCGACCGGTCGTAGCGTTCATTACAGCATTTTACCTGTGGGAAGCGGGACCCGCCCTCTCGGAAACCGGCGGGAGGCCGGACCGACGCCGACACGCCCAATTTTCGGGCCGACCCAATTTACTATCGCCCGGACGTGCGTGTTGAGGTGCTGGGATGAATGAGCGCTGTCCCACGGGCGCCTCGCGCTGGGGCGCTGATGGTGAGCGTGGTCCCTGCCGCAGGCGAGTGCACTTCTCACGATGATAGCCGCACTCACAAGGCGGAAATTTCGCACGCACACGCGATTCCGTAGAGACGTGCGTTAGCTTCCGGGCTATGAACCTCCAGTAGTAAGTAGTTGGAAAGAATCTATAAGAGCACCGTAATGTTAATGGCTACCGATCATATCGAAATTAATCGATAGTTTTTTTTCGAAAAACACAACAAATATGCAAGTCGGTTTTACGGTTGCCTTCCCTACATGAAAATTTGAATAATTGGATGTAATTTGATTGGTGAATGGGTAATAACATTTATCATCTGTCGTTACATCCAAGCCTATAATTTCGGTAAATTTTAACGATCCATTGAAAGGAGCACAACACATGGCCAACTCGCAGTTTCCATTGGCTTACTACCTACAATATCCGGACTTCATTTGCCGCTAGGGCGACGCAGCGCTAGCCGCTGTACGTTCCACGAGCGCCGTTTATGAGCGCTAACTGCGGCGCAAATTCCTCTTTGACCATGCGTGTGTTTGTGCGTGTTTGTGTGCGTGTTTCCTCCGCCGATCCGGCCCGCCCTGTGCGTGTTCGAGGGTCTCCGTCAGCGTCAGTGAACACAATAGCAGCCTTCTGATTGGTGGGCGGCCGGCTAAATCGGGCGGAAATGAGCTGATCACGGTCGCCGGTGGGCACGTGCAGAGCTCATCAGTCAAGTGACGATGCCCGCCCCCTCCCCCCTCCCCCCCCCTCCGGGATGGGGTCGAAACAAAGGCAGACGGGTGGCTAGCGTGGCTGTCCACGCACGCTGCCACCCCCGTTTTACGCCACTGTGAACGGGGCTAGAATTAGACGAGGGTTTATTGTTAGAAAAGGAGATAAATTGAGAACTGAACATTCACCTAACAGATAAGAATTACGTATTTGTTTATTACCAATGATGTTATATAATAGAAAATGGGGACTCGTGTCTCGTGGTCTGATATCTAAACATGGGTACCGGCTGTTTGTTCCATCGCGACAGACCTAAGAATTGGGACTTCTTTCAATCGAATGTTTGCTGCTGGACAAATGTATGCGCCGACAGCTATAATTCAACATTCTTGTGCTGCCGTCTCTCCACCCTAACATGCCATCTCACTTTGTCAATTATCGGCCACCGGCTTTTGCCACCGATGTGAGGCATCTCCGCCTTGCTAAAGATCTGTCAAACATCGTGCGATTAACTGGAGACCCGTCGAACTCGTGTGCTACTGCAGCTTGTCAAACATTTCTTGCGATGTTCGCTGTTCACTGGTCTAGTTTCAGACGACCCTGAAGTTGTCGTTGGACTTCAATCAGAACGTGATGCAGCCTAGCAACGGCATTTTACATTGCTTTCCCGTATTGACCATCGCATGCCATTCAACATTCATGCTCTAATTGGTATGTTTTAGCAAGGGACACCATGCATTAAAATGCCAACGGACATGCATGGTACCTTTTGATCGCCATTTAAACCGCCTGTCATTTTGTTGATCTCTTTGCAACATCGACGTTGCTGGTTATGACTCGTCAATGTTCCTGTCGGCTCGCTTTGATCTACTATCGTTTACCGACATATGACACGCGTTCAGTCGCAACACGCTTCTCTGCTGCTCTCTAGTCTAGTCTCTACAACAGTCGCCGTAGTGATATACACCAACCGGATCTGGCAGTGTTTGAACAGCATACAGACGCCAGCTGCGCCCCCCCCCCCCAATTTAACCCTCCCCTCTCCTCCCCTCCCCAGAGTGGCCCCGCCATGGCACGTAGGCGCCCGCCACCCGAGTAATTCATTGTCCAATTAGGTCAGAAATCAAACGGCTCCGAGCCGCCTCCCACCTGCCAGGCGCGTGTGGAAACTCCAACGGCTGTGTGGACAAACAGCTGCGTGGTGCAGCGGGCTGCCACCTGTGGACTGTGGAACTGTGGGATCTGTGGGATCTGTGGGTGTGGATTGTGGGGTTGTGGACCGTTTGTGGGAAAGGTTGTGAACAATTGGAGTTGGACGGGGGAGGTGACCCCGGGAACATGTATTTGATTTGACTTCAAAAGCGTGAGGACATGAATGAGCTGATGATGGGCTGCCAAAAATCTGGAATTATGTATTTTATAAATGTGAATTATTGTTACTGAAAGGATCGTTCTATGGAAAAACGCGATGCAAAAAAAGTGAATTTATTTTCACCAGCCGAGTGGTATCCTCGGGTGGATCCTCAACTGTCGCCAACTCTTATCGCATTCGGAGGTCACTCGGGGATGTGCAGCTGACCGCAGTGTCCGGAGAAATATTACGGCCCCATCCGTCCCCCCCCCTCTCCGGAACGGGGGGGGGCGGATGTGGCACCACCATGACCGGAAGGTAGACAATCTCCTCGGTGGTTCGGGAATCCTCGACCTCGCCTCTAACACTTGTGATGTAACGAGTCTTATGCAACGCGCGTCAACTTTAAAACCCTGCAGTTTTTTGTTTTTATGTTTTTTGTTCGAATGGCACCTTCTGTCTGATGAATTTGGTCTTCATCAGGAGGTTCCCACTCCCCACTTCCCCAGCGTTCTTCTCTGGCATCATGGCATGCTGTTGTGCCTTGCGGGCACGCTGCGAGGCCAGCAGAGGTCGGCGCACCGTTTTGTCGCTCCATCTGAAGGGGTGACGCCGGCGTTCAACCTCTCTGATGGCGACGGAGATTGGTTTCAGCACGCGCAACGGACGCTCTTCACGACTCGCGCTGACAAAGCCGCTGTCCCGGCGGCCATTTGAGGCTCGTTGTTGCGTTGGATAGGAACAGGTGTGGTCCGGCTGCGCGCATTTCGGCCGCGCCGCTGTCGGTTTTTATACAGAACTTTGATTACGATCACGGCAGCCGGATCCATCAAAATTAGTCGGCCTTGGCGATGGTGGCGCTCCTAGCGGCCGGTGGACGAACTAGTGTATGGGAGCCGGTCTGCACCTGGGCGGGGTGACAGAAGGGAGGGGTGGAGAGGGCGGGGGTGAATAGGAGCGTGACATTTGCGCCCGTAATGAATGGCCCAGCTGTGTCGGCAGCGCTCAGGCCGCCTAATGACCGACCAGAATCCATTACACACGGCCGCCTTATTAAGTCGCCCCAGGACTAATTGCGGCGCCGGAGATAATCGCGTCAATTATCGCCGATTCCGCTCCAAGATGTTACCGGGCGGCGTCTCGCATCGGCGCCTCCTCTCATCACCTGCTCTTATCGCGCCTCCCACAGAGCTATATTTAGGCCCGGAGCGATACCACGCCCAATTGAGGAACATCTGTCTTCCCGGCCCGATTGGACCGCCCAGTGTGAACTCATGAGGAAAACTACATCTGAAGCAGCAGCCGCAGTTCGCACCTTAGAGAAAATAGTACACATTTTCTCATACACATGCGCAATGCGTATGAACCAGCAAGTTTGACGCCGCTTATTAGAGCGTAAATGGCAGCTAATGGCTCACCTATAGGTCCGGTGGTTCCATGTTGTTAGTTGTAAGCACCCGAGCCTGACCTACCGGCAGTGCCAGCGCGCCAGTGCTACTGCGCCCGTCTAGTGTGAAGGCTGACCCCCCCCCCCCCCCCGGGTCGCCGGCCGAACGGAAGGGGCGGGTCTGTAGTGTGTGCCCCCACGGCCGGCCCCTCACACACTCAGCCGTGACGTGACGTGTAATGTGACCTGACGTGATTCTTTAGCCGTGACGGCGTGACGCAGGGCATGGCAGTGTTGCGACCGATCGGCACACTTCTGAGTTCTGTGCATTTAAACATTATGCATATGTCTTCGGTGCAGCACACTCCTAGTTGGTGTGAGGATGAATCGAATGACATCTCACTGTCAACCGAACGTTCTACAACTCAACCGCTCCTCGAATCCTTCCGTTCCCACTTCCCAGCCGATTGACTGCCGGTACCATCTGGTTTGGCTCAACGTCCAACAACCACAGCTTATGGCCGGAGTGGTCAGCGCAGTTCCCAGCCATTCTCTCACGGCTACCCCTCGGTTCGTGTTACCATGGCAACCGTGACGTCGTTAACCTTAGCGTTGGCGGAAACGGCTCTGCGGTCCGTCAAAACGCCCGAAAACCACGCATACACCCACCCGGCACCCAAAACTCTATACACCCACTCGGCCATCCCCAGTGTTTATTGGTTCTGCAGTCTAGCCGACCGTGTGTTTTGCGCCCCCTCCATGGCCCATTTTCCCTGGGGAATATCCGCGTGACGGGCATCTGTTCGATGTCTACGCCCCGGTTATTTTTCCCCAGTGATGAGAGGTGCTTGTGTGGAACCGCTTATCTACCGTAACAGTACTTGGCAAGTTACATAAACGTAAACGTGGTGTGTTTAGTTCGCACCGGACTGATCGCTCCTTTACGGCAACTGTTTGTTTTTGTATCACCAAACCTGCTTAGTGCTTACTGACGGTCCCCATACTCCACAGCAATAGGAGCCATAACTAACCTTTTGGCAGTGTTAGCTCAGCTGATAGATAAAGTGTCGCTGCATCTAACCCATCTTCTCTCTTGTCCCCAGGCGTTGAAGAAAGCCACCGAAGCCAGCAAGGAGCGTCGCCGTTTCCTGCGTATGTCGAGCACCAACCTGTCGACTCTGAGCTCTGGACCGGGCACTCCGGCTGCCCTGAGGTCCTCCACGGCTCTTAGCGACTCCAGCCCTGCCATCGACCGTCTCTGTGAGAGGATAGAGCGCGAGGTGTGGGGAGGCAGCGGCGGCGGATCGGCCGGTCGGCTCATGAGGCGACAGAAGAGTGAGCTGGATGCTGGTATGGTGCTCAGGAGACAGATGCACTATGCCAGTCAGAAGCGGCTCAACAGGCATAGCAGTGAGTGGGGGAGGGAGAGAGAGGGAGGGAGAGAGAGAGAGTGAGAGAGAGAGAAAAAAAACAGCAAAGCAGGGCAGAGCAGAGCAGGAAAGGACAAAGCAAAGCCGAGCAAAGCAGAGCAGAATAGTGACAGTAGGCATAGGGAAACATTGATAACTGTGATATGATCGATGTGGGAGCGCGGGAGGAGGGCCCACCGCGCAGCTGTCAATGAAGCGTTTATCAGATGCCCCATGGCCTGTGATTTCCTCAGCGCCACCGCCTTATGACGTGGCGGGCGGGAAAAACGGTCATTACTCAATCAGATAATGTCCACAGTCCGCTGACCTCGTGCGTTATCAATCGCGGGCTTACGGTATGGTTCATTTGTTACAGTGATGCCGGAGGTGGATATCTACGATACGAAGTCGAAAATGCGGAACGACTCGTCGCGTCATAGTGCCAACAGGAGACACAACGACTCGTTGGACTCGGCAGGTGAGCTAGGCCGCACCAGGGAAGAGTGGTCGTGTCACTTTGCATGTTCTTGTTTTTTTTCTGAACTCAGTCTATAGTTCTTTCAGTGTTTTTATCTAATGTTTCCTTTCCTTGAAAGCAGTACAGCAAGTGTGCGACTAATTTATCGTAACAAATTATTGTTGCATCTTTGTAACGCATGCTAAAGGCAATGTCACTTCCATTTATAATGTTTAAGATGCTATTTGGTATGTGGGCACATTCAATTTAATAATGATAGCCGCTGACCTCTGTCTGACCTCTGTTTGTCCTCAGGGCACTCTCCGTCCACCACTCCATCTAAGTCGTCCATGAGCAGCACAGAGGGCGCTGAGGTGCTGCTGCGCCGCGCGGCCGCAGGTGGCGCTGGCGGCAGTCCCGCGTTCGGTCCAGATGGCACCACCGTCGTGCTGCGCACCAGCTCGGTGCGAAGACGGGGTCGGGGTCGTGCGCCGGCTGGGGTGCACGGTGACCAGATCAGGCCGCACAGCATCCTGTGTGACACGCCGTCAGACCCTACTGAGGTGGTGCTCAGGAGAAAAGGTCAGTGGTGGCTCCGGCGGCAGCGTCAACTCGGGAAGGGCGGGCGTCGTACTTACGTTTAGTTAGTTTCAAACTTCAAAGAGGTGCAAGTTACGTTTTGTTTGTAAATTGTTTCTTTATATCGGAACTGCATCTACCATGGAGCCATTCAAAACTGTACGTGTTATGAGATTTCCCAAGCTTCTACGTTTTGAAATAAATATAAATGTTTCTACACTTCAAATGTCTACCTTTAACGGGGAAATGAGCGTTATTTCCTGGTCAAAGATTTTAGCAAGTCGTGCCTGTTCGAGCGAAGTTGTCGGATGTTGGCTCAGTGTCTGCCACAACCATAACGAACGTCGTTTTTTAGCCACCGTGTTGCCCTCGACTAACGTTCTCCCTCCGTGTCTCTTCCACAGACCACACCAGCGCCGTGCGACAGGAGGTGAAGGCACAGAACCGGCGCAGCTGCGACCTATCGCTTCTCAAACGGCGCTCTGCTTACCTGACCCAGTACGAGTACTGAGGTCGAGCACCGGCCGTGAAAACCCAGCTCTAGGCTAGGCCACGAGCTCAGTACTTGGACGACATCGTAGCAGCGGCATGACTCAGTGCTTCAACTGGAGTGATTGGGTTCAGTTGTCGGACGCTGCGGATTGCGGAAGCTCGTGTCGGGGCATGGATCTTTTCGCTAATGGAAAGTGGAAAACTATGACGGTCAGTTGTGTTTCCCGTGAAGTGAGCGACGGTGAAAGACAGTGCTGCCACCTGTGCTGCCATATGTGCTGCCACCGACGCATGAGGTGTTACACCTGCTTTCCGTCGCTGGAATGTTTATGAACATGTAACGCCTGCCAGTATGAGTATGTATTTGTTTAGAGTGTGTGACAGTCAATGCTGAGGCTCAGATCAGTGGACCAGCTCAGTCTCAGTCTCAGCTCGGACTTAAGTCGGCGGATTGATTCGCTCAGTCGGAGCCAGTCTGGGGTCAGTTCAGGCCAGGACTGCCGCGATCCTTGGATGGCTAAGTATTTAGGCTAAATTATCGGTTTCCCGCTGACGTACGTGACTGCTGTTTCTTATATTATCTTGACGGACGTGGTACCTATGTTTTGTCACAAGAGACGTTTAATTGATCGGACATTTGTTGTATCGGGACATAAAGACTAACTTAATGATTTAATCGGACAATCGCTAATGTATTTACTATGATTTGTGTATGCTTTTGGTATGACGAAGATGATGGTTATATGATCGTTTGATGTGACTTGGCAATAATGTGTATGTTCTGAATGTGAAACAACCACTTGCTGTTCTCAAACGATATAATGCAAAATAATCGCACGTCACAAATTGTGTCACTTGTTACCGATTTATATTCATTTTTATTACCCTATCTGGTAAACTACTGCAGTGTTCAGTGTTCACTGTTTAACGATAAAAGACCTCTGTAATGCTGGATATATGTAACGTCTTACTGATCAGGATAATTCGTGTCTCTCTGGGTTTTCTGCTGATGTGCTCCTTGTCTTGTTTGTCGTATACATACTCCGAAGTAAGTCAGATTGTGATATAAGTTCGGTGTTGCCAATATACTTATTGTCTTATTCCACTGTATTTGTGCAGGTTTTCTTTGCAGAGCTGGGTATGACCGATTCATCTTCGTACAATCACGCGCCTTTAGTAAGGCAGGAAAAAGGCGCGAACAAATTATTTTATGAGTGATGTGATGGGTGAGTGATGGGTACGCACATTCCTTTCAATGAGATGGAGACCTTAGGCCAAATCTCACAATACATTCGCAAGAGAACTATTGCATAAAAAAGCTATCAAATGTTTTTTGGCGAAGTGTTGGAACGTGCTATATTAGTTCCCGAGCTATGAGCCAGGGCCTTCAAGAACATCGATATCGGGACATTCTTGCCTTCGATGACCTCTAGGGACCTTGAACCTTTGACCAGACCAAAAATAATCATCTAAGTACTTTATACGTTATTTTCGACGCTCTTTCGAACACAATTTATCGCCCTTGTATCCCAGGAGGTGGGCTATAAAGGTGCATAAATACTCCCCCTCGTTGCGTTACGTCAGACCATTGTCAACATGGTGCGAATAATCACTGTTCGATCACGGTTACTACATAGATCATGGTTGGAATGAATGTCATGTGACTCAGGCCGCCAGGCCAGGCCACGGCGGTAAACGGTCCCATCTCGATACTAGCAATGGGTTACCGTTTTCTGTTACGCAGGCAGCGAGCACCGCCAGAGCAACACAATAATTGGTGGAACTTGTTTACCGGCCCACGGCGCTCCCATTCTGTGTGACCTTTCCCGGCGAGTGCTGGCAAAGCACCTGCCACGATGCAATTCGCCATTTCCAATTATCTGGTGAGAGCCGCCTCCGGCCCCGGCAATCGACCGTGCTCATACGCCGCCCGGGGGCTCTTGCCAGAACTCACCGTGTAGCCGCCACTACCGCCACCGCTACCACCGCTACCGCGCTACTACCGCTCCATCTACTGCCACCGCAACTGCTACACCCACCGCTACCGCCATCGCTACTGCCGCCTCCATCGCTACTGCCACCGCCACCGCCACCATCTTCAACGACGCCCCGTCCCATCATGACGTCGTATCAGTGCTTCGTGTCGTTCCATTTCAACCATGCACCATGACTGAACTGCACCATCAGGGCTACTACCTGCGTTACCATCTCCCCAGTCCCCACCACCGTCTCCCCTACCATCCTCTTCCCACCAGTGTCCGTCTTATCACCACCGTCTTCCCACCACATCGCCGTCTCCCACCACAGTCCCTATAAAACGTCTCTCACCAAACACAACGCTAACCGTCTCCGCCGCACTCAGCAGTAACCGTCTCCCACAAAACACAACACTCACCGTCTCCCACAAAACACAGCAGTGACCGTCTCCCATTGAATCCAGCAGCTTCCGTCTCTCATCAAATTCAACAGCTGCCCCGAATCTACAGCTCCCAACAAAACTCAATTGGCAAAAGCCACCTACCACCAAACCCAATAGCCTCAGTCTTCCACTAAGCCCCGGCATGTCGCCACCGCGAGGCAATCGTTCTCATGCTGAGGCGGAGCAATCCATTACCCTGGAGGCTCGGAAGTCGGAGCTCTCTGAATGTGAAAATTCTCGCCGAATGTCGCCGCCGCGCCACCAACGCCTCTGTGACTGTCACCGGTGGCCCCGGAGCTATTCAGACTGACTGCGGGCGATATCTATTTTCCGGCTGTCAGGTGGAGGAGAAACACTCAGTCACCGCTGGGGTGGTGTTTGGAAAAGGGATCAAAGAGACGGCTAGACTTTTTGTAGACTAAGAAAGAGATACCTATGCTGATGTAGTAGGTTAGGTATGTATGTGTCTTGTCCTATGGTGCACGCTAATTCTCCCGGCGTAAGCTATATGACTTAAAAAGATGACTTATCGCTCCATTTCCAATAAAATAAATGATAGTCATTTATATTGAGGACATGTCAGTGCCAACTGCTTTCGAGCTTTCTTAATCCGCGGTGCATCTTGGCAAATATAACATGAGGTTAGACGTTCATCCCCTTTGGTACGTAAACGTATGCATTTACGTAAGGTCAACTGGCGTAACCATTGCAATTGCAACTTGCATGTAACTTCTTGAGTTATGTTACGACTTGCATATTTATGTTGTCCTGTGTCATCACTTTCCAATCTATCCTGACAATATACGACCATTTTTTTTAACGCTGGAAGTGAAATCGTTACGTTTTATCAAATGTCAAGGCTGTAGACGACTGACGGCTTTCCGGGGCCGAATCTCAAACGACTAAGGCCGCGTTCCCACTACGACCGTTCAACATCGTAAATTGCAAGAACGGGAGAAAACGGACGAGATCGTTGATCTAGAGACTTTTCTAAAAAAGTTGAACACTTCCCTAGATCTGGTATACGGGGCAAGATGGGGAAACATCGTAAGACATCGGCAAACGGCTTGGACAAAGCCGGTTGAGAGGAGCGATGATGAAGGAGGGATCGGCACAATAAGCTATTGTAAAAAAGTTCAGAATATAGGTAGTTGACGTGGTAAAAGATCCCATGCAACTGAATGAATGATAAAATTAGAAAAAAAAAACTTAAAAGTTATCGGTGTGTTAAAAGTACCTACGCGAGCATGAGAAAATCTATCAGCAATGTCAACGAAAAGCATTCACAGCTGTGATAACGACAATCTATTGACTTTTGAAGAGAAAATGTGTGCAGTTGATATAACTCATTGTGGTTTTGCTGTGAATACCTTCGGGAAGCTGTAACCGATAAATTGCAAGTTCCGATGATTTCTTTACAGTTTATTGTGGCAATCCTCGAAAAAACATCCAGCAAGTTGAAGCAGGCTGCAACGCAACTGAATTTGCCGACACAGGTTCAGCGATTTAGGTATACGAGTGCAAGTATATGGAGCCGGAATTCCAACTTACAGCAGTGTCACAGCTCATGTCACCATCATCATGTGACTACGCCATCTCGTCAGGCGATGCTAGAATTGTATAAAGGCAATTATACTAATATCAACTGAAAGACGAGAAACACTTATGAGTTCAGCAAGGAAACTGACGCCGTGTGCTCAATGAAGATAAACGAGTGTATTCGAGCACAACGGTTGTTCACAGCAGATGGTGGCAACTGTCGACGTTTGTCTGACTCTGCAGTGGAATAGCGAGGATCATTCGCTCAAGAGTCGCATGCGATGTGCATAACAAGGACCAGACAGCCCAATGACAATCACATGCTTCGCATGTGGTCGTCCCAATCACATGGCGCGGTCCAGATGGCCTTGATCCAGAAGACACTGTGATTGTTTGAGCCTCGAATGAGGCCCTCAGTGACGATCCGACGGCGGAAGCTGCGTGTGTTGAACGAGGAGTGGCCGCCCGTTTGAGGTCATAAGTGAGCGACGACGCCGGTGGCCACGATTGTCGGAAACTCTCCCTTTAGTTTCACAAGAGCAAGTGCTGCTATGCAGCTATGTATCACTGTTAGATGATGTAAATAAACGTTTGTTATTTGCGCCGCATTTGCAGTGGCATGACATTATTTGTAAGATTCTTATTTTCCAGGCGCTGATGGTAGGTAAATGAATAAATTGCACTAGACCTACGGTAAACCTGCCGAAAAGTTGTTATTCATCGCCACTTAGCGCTCGCCCACATCTACATATGTATATAATTAGAGTTATATAGCCTTTATCTGCAAAAATGCACCACCTTTCATGCCTTGCTGCTTGTCTTCTCACTTTGAATATCAAGAACAGGGGCGGCGGATTCGGGGGGGCAGGGGGGGGCAGCTGCCCCCCCTGGCAAAATCGTGGGGGGGCAAAAGTATCTTTTTGCCCCCCCATAATTTGTGACAAAGCTTAGACAAGAAACCATATACCTGATTATTCTGTTCGATCATCTGAAGATGTAACCAGATGCCCATATACTTTCATACGTTGCCTTTCTTAAATGGCAGGCGTTCGCGTTCAATTGAAGTTTTCCTCTCTTCAACCTAGTTTTGGAGGCATTATAAGCGTCAACGTGACGCAGCGGCAGCCCAAGCCTTCAGTGACCGCTTACAGGGGCGACAGATACAGGCAGAGGAGGCATCGTCCCCTAATAAACTTTTGGAGGAGGGGCAAACGTATATTCTTGCCCCTCCATAGTTTGTGCCCTAAACATGAGAAAAATTTCCATAATCTGATATTGCAGCTATGCGCTCCTACAGTTTGTCCAACGGTGCCTTTTGAGTTTTGAATATGTGTAAATGCTAACCATTTCCGCTTTATATCATTTTTTGTCTTTTTAGATTCGATTTAGAGATACTTTAGGTGTGCAAGAGACGCAACTCATACCTTCAGTGGTCATTTGCCGCTATTTTGTACCTACATAAATGCCAAATCGCAAGTGAGCGGAGACGGAAGGGCTAGCCATTCGCTTGCGGGTAGTTAGGACTGATGAGCGCTCATAATAAGCCACTCCCCTGATTTTTTCAAGCGCAACAGTTTCCAGCGCATAAAATGGTAAACGCCGAGGTCGTACACATTGAGCACATTGACCAATGCACGGTATGGTATGACACCCAAAGGCCAGTCATCAGAGATCTGCTTTGGGCATTCGGAGGCTTGTGTGGGGCCAGTGTTAAAACTGGATGTTCACAGTTCAGTATCCGCCTTATTTCAGTTTTCACTATCAAAAAAGTAAAAATTAATGATGGAGACTTTTGAGGGTTAGGGCACTGATCATTAGTGGGCCCCCCTCTGTCTAAAGGCTGGCTATAGAGTAAAGAGCATCAAACACGAACAGTAGCGGCGGACTTTTGGTTCTATTCTTTCCTTGCAACGCCCATAGGGCTAACGTTAAAATGCCAAAATCAAAGGGGTGCACGGTGCCCCGGTCAGGGCTGCGGAGTCGATGGATTTTCGGCGACTCCGACTCCGACTCCGGCTTTCAAAAACCAGCTCCGACTCCGACTCCGGGCAGAATTGTCGACTCCGACCGACTCCAACTCCCGACTCCGACTCCGCAGACGTAGCAGGACTGCGGAGTCGACAGATTTTCGGTGACTCCGACTCCGACTCCGGCTCGGGTTTCTAAAATCGACTCCGACTCCGACTCCGACTCCGGTCACAACTGTCGACTCCGACCGACTCCGACTCCGACTCCGACTCCGCAGCCCTGGCCCCGGTGCCCTCCCCGTTCCGCCGCCTATGAACACGAAAGTAAAATCTAAGGCATTTTGGAAAAATGAGTATGCCCCGCAGCGTCCGATAACTACCACCTTCCAGTGGGTCAAGCCAACGGGACCCAAGTCTATAATGTCACTTAACGATAGCACTAACCATGTCTCACTTTTGGTTGAAATCTGTTCCGAATGGTTTCGGCCACAGACTGGCTGCACTGAGGTCGTTTGGTATGTGCAACTGTAATTAAAGCCACCTGAGGTGCCCTGACACCAGGCTGAAGCTGGGTTGGAAATGCTTGGTCTTTGCAGATATCACTGGCCGCTGATTTTCGAGTGCCTGAACCGGTAGATGTCGTGGCAAAATTGGATGTGATAATTTGGACCTTACCGCAGTCAGCGCACCCTAAAGCCCTAATAAAGAAGCGCCCCACCCAGAGCTTCTGGATTCTCGTTCCAGTCCACCGTTCCTTCACCCCAGCCCGCCGCCGGCGCCGCGCTCCCTCACCTCAGCCCTCCGTTCCCAGCTTGACGAGCGTTTGGGCCTTAGTTAAGCTTTGCTGTAGGCTTACTGTATGTATAAACCCATCGAGACAGCCCGTCTCGGTGAGCTTATTCGGCGAACTACTGCCTTGGGGAGGGTTTCTGGCGGATCGCTGTCCCAATAGGTTTAGATGCGACCGACTGTCTCTGAATGTTTGAGCGGTCTCCTCCCGCTGTGAGCTAGTTTCAGTTGATATCTGTCTCAGAAATACTTTTTAAAGGAAGGTTAAACGGAAATCGAACGTAAAATGAACAGAGGAAATGGTAACGAGTTACATCGTCCACTGGCGGATCCAGGGAGCGGGCATTTAAAGCAAATATTTACTCCCCCTCCCCCTGGCCTCTGCATCGCCCGAAATAGACAAAACGTACCTTATGTTTCCTAATAAAAACACTTTTATCAGATTTTTTTTGCTATATGCTGTTCAGCAGTAGGTCCGTATGGAATCGAAATCCGAGGAGTTTTTGGATTTTGGACACTTTTTGGGGGGTATGTCCCCTACAGCGTCGAAAACGCCTTTCTGGATCCGCCTATGACATCATCTCGACTGGGATCTTGCCCCCCCACGCCAAAATCGAATCCGCCGCCACTGATCAAGAAACTTCCCAAAAAGGGCTTCCTGCTCTATGCACTGCCTAAAAATGCTTATTACTGTTATTTAATATCTGCACAAACCTTCAAGAACGTTCAAAAAGTTGAACACTGTTCAACTTTTTGGCGACTTCACCAACCAACCAACATGGGGACACTGAACTCTAATATATACTGGAAGGAGCATTGGTGACTTGTTTTTGTCTATCGATTTCCGCCATGTTGTGTATACCAGAAATATAAATTGCATGTACGGTAGCAGAGGTGCAGTTTAGTGAGAGGTACACTACTCAAAAGTGCTGCTGCTTCATGCTTGCAGTTTGATTGCAGTGATCAACTTTTCAAGACTTTGGTATACACAACATGGCGGAAATCGTTAGACATTCTGGCCCATATACGGCCAAGGCGAATGCCTCCCCCTGCATGGGGAGCAAACTTTCAAAACCTTACAAATGTCTTCATCCGAAAACACGTGTCAAATACCCGGTTCCCACCACCACCGGCAGAGATCGTAAAAATGCATGCTGTGATTTTGCCGATCTTGCCGGTTTTCTCCCGTTATTTCACTTTACGATGTTGAACGGTCGTAGTGGGAACCCGGCATAAGGCTCGGAAGTCGGAAGTCCATCCTTCTTTCGGGAGAAGATCGTTAAAATCGCTATGACGAAAGACTTTTTCAAAAGAATGATGGCCGTGATTGGACAGCACTTCACTGAATCGTGACATTTCAACGAAGTAAGAAGTTTTAAATGCTTATTCTACTCGTATGTTTAAATGGTTAACCGACAGCAGCGCTCAAACCTCAGTCACATAATACAACATTGCTCACGTTTTATATTCCCTTCCCCAGGACCCTTGGACTCTGAGCGATTTCTCCGCATAAGAGAATTGCTCCACAGTATATCAATGTCCCTATGGCCCCCACAACGACGTCCTCAGAATCAGAGCGGCATCCCCTTCCCCGTATTCTCAGTGCAATATCTCTGTCCCTGAGGGATCAGCACGATAGCCATGAGACCACACTCCACCACCCACACGGTCACACATTATCAACTCCCCGGAGAGCCTACGGAGAATCTCTGAGAGGTCGTCCGTTACCCGTCAGCCCCGTGCTGGTGTCAGCCGAGCCTCTGAAGGTGGGCCGTGCCTGCTGAAGTTTGCCGCGCCTCTCCTGGGTACGAGGTGTGTGGGTGGATCGCCGCTGACCCGGACCGTACCCTGCAGACGTCTGAGAGGCTCGCGGCGGCGCCCGGAGTGCCGCGCCTTCTGTCGACGCCCTGCCGCCGGCGGCGATGGCGCCGACCCTAGCCGACATCGATCGAGGGCGGGGGCGGGGGCGGGCGCTGCGCCGCCGCCGCCGTCGACGTCTCCGACGAGCTAGGCCAGGCCACGGCGGTGACTCGGCACGGAGAGACGCGCGGAGAGGCCATCCGAGACCGCTACAGGTGACCGTCAGCGGCGACAAGAACGGACGTCATGTCAGACCACCTCCCGCCGTCGGACGGCCGCCGCTACAGGTAGGTCATCCCGGCCCATGGCAGGGTGTCCTCTCTCCCTCCTTTCCAGTGTGACTGCCCGTCCAGACGCCAACCTAGTGACGTCAGCAAGATTCAACAGATGGAGACTCCAGAGGGAGTGAAGTGGAACAGATCCAATCAGACCAGATAAGGCGGAACATATTTCGGAAACACTCACCGTATTTGAAAGAAAGACTTCCCTGAAATCGATGCCAATTACGAAACACCAATAAAACAATACCAATTTTCCAAAACGATACTCGCTTTTCATTTGTGTTTTAGCTGAAGCCTGCGTTCATTTTCGCACCTATCTCATTCTTATCGTTAGCCTCGGAATGTATTGATTGTCATCTTATTATGGGTCATTTCCTTTCAAGCCGTTCGCCGACCCCTGGGAAGAGGAATTTAATAACGCTGGTGGGAGCGCCAATCGTCCCCAGAGCACGCAGTCATGGTGCGCCGCACCAGCTCGTGCAGTAATAGGAATATTGCTTGATACCGACCGTGGCGGTAACGATAATTGAGTTACTGCTGGTATGCGAAGACCAAATAAACCGCGCCGCACCTTTAGGCAAACGATAATGCAACACGGCCTTCAAATCTCGGTGAACTAAGCCTTGATTTTAACTTAAGATCAAAAGTAAACGTTTCAATGCAGTTTATTAGTTTATTAAACCATTGTTTCTTTTTAAATCTAAATTCAGCATTCTGTGCCAGATCAAGTTAATTGGAACAGATGCAATTTATCAGACCCAGTCACTAAAAATAGCTCAGTTAATAAGCCCAACCTTCTCCGCGCAGGAGCCGTCTGCCGCGGGAGCACATCCTGGGCGACGACTTCAACATGTGGTCGGTGCTGAAGGGCGGCATCGGCAAGGAGCTGACGAAGGTACCGATGCCGGTGAGCTTCAACGAGCCGCTGAGCTTCCTGCAGCGGATGGCGGAGCTGATGGAATACTCGGAGCTGCTGCAGCTCGCCGCCGGCCAGGAGGACAGCGTCAGCCGCATGGAGGTCAGTCGGGTGGAGTTTAGTCGTATGGAGGTCAGTCGGGCGGGGTGTATTAGTATGGAGGTCAGTCGGGTGGGGTGTATTAGTATGGAGGTCAGTCGGGTGGGGTGTATTAGTATGGAGGTCAGTCGGGTGTGGTGCGTTAGTATGGAGGTCAGTCGGGTGGAGTTTAGTCGCATTGAGGTCAGCCGGGTGGAGTTTAGTCGTATGGAGGTCAGTCGGGTGGAGTTTAGTCGTATTGAGGTCAGTCGGGTGGAGTTTAGTTAGTCGTGTGGAGATTAGTTGTGTAGAGCTTCAGTCATCAGTCGGAAAGGGATCGGTCTGGGTGCCAGTCAGATGAAGCCGCTTGCTAATGGCCAAAGTTTCCAACGGACTGCAATATAATAGCTACATGTCATAGACGATCCCTTATTCACCCACATCTACATGCTTGTTCTGTATTCCGGCTAAAACGCGTCATGTGGCCGTTGCGTTTCGCTCTTTACGTGAGCTGTATTCATTTCCAGTTGGTGGCGGCATTCGCTGTGAGCGGTTTGGCCTGTAACTGGGGCCGCACTGCCAAACCGTTCAACCCACTGCTCGGGGAGACCTACGAACTGGAGAGAAATGGCTTCAGGTGAGAGCTCTTACCCAACGACAGCCGTCACAGAGACCTTTCGCATAACTCGGCAGACATCGATCGGACTGACCACAGACAGCACACAACAAACGCCACGTCACAAACGGCGACTGTGACTCAAACACCACCGATCGAACATTTCACAATTAAGTGGCGGCCCGGTCACGTAGTGCAAACACCTGCGCACCATGCAAAGCAGCTGCAGCGGCACGAAACGACATCCCTTCGCGAGCCAGCTGAGTGGGGATTCCAAAGCGGCCTTGACGAATGCAGGGCTTCTCCGGTCTCTAAGGAGAAACCTCAAGTGAACAAAGATGAATTCAGCAGATTTGTGCTGATTGAAGGATATTAGAATTGCAACGCTGCTTCAGTGTATTCAGTATGCATGCATTTTTTACCGGTAAAGAAACAGTCCAAACGATGGGGTATTTATGCCGTATGCAATCAATATGTTCACATTATTTTCCCCAGATTTCAAGAGATACTGATGATATTTAGATGCTCGATGAATGTATTTGTTTTGTTTAATTCCGCAAAATGTAAACGTGATGATAACTTGATTTATCGGTTTGACAGCCCCCCCCCCCCCTCTCCGGCAAGATGCCAATTTGAGTAGGTGTATCCATGGTCTGATAGCCCCTAACACCCCCCCCCCCATCCCCCCGGCAGGATGGTGTGTGAGCAGGTCTCTCACCACCCACCCGTCTCGGCCTTCCACGCCGAGGGCGACCAGTACCAGTTTCACGGCTCGGTTCATCCCAAACTCAAGTTCCTCGGACGTTCCCTGGAGATCAGCCCGCGAGGCACACTGGCCGTGGAACTACCCGGGTAAGGATGGATGTACGCTGGTTTTAGAACTGCCCAGATAGGAACAGATGGGCACACTGGCTGTGAAGCTACCCGGGTAAGGATAGTTAGGAACTGCCATGATCAGGACAGACATGGATATACAAGTAGAACTATCGAGGTAAAGGTAGGTGGGCACACTGGGCCTTGCTGTGGAGCTGCCCTGGTAAGGACAGACAGGGATATAAAAGTAGAACAATCGAGGTAAAGGCAGGTGGGCACACGCAGTACGCACACTGGGCCTTGCTGCGGAGCTGCCCGGGTAAGGAGTAAAGACAGCTGGCTGACGCTGGTTTTAGAGCTGCCCGGTTAAGGGCAAATGGGATCCTGCCCAGGCAAGGACGCTGGGATTATGGTTTTTGAACAGTCGTGATAAGAACATGGCCCCAGAATTTCCCAAATTTATGGTAAAGACATCGAAAATATCAACATTAGGATGGCCAAAAGCAAGACAATTGACGTTTCAAAAATCGACCTTGAAGCCGTTGTAGTAGTTTCCACGGCACACACCTGATCGTCTTGCTAAATTGGTTACTAGGGACTAAAAAGGGTAATTTCAGAATTGTTGAGGTGTGCTCTATTGAAATTAATTAGTGGAATAGCCACAAAAGGGCGATATGTGATTCCGGCTTAGACATAAATTGCAGGTAGCCATTGAAGCAACAATTCATGCTCAGTGCTTATGCTGGCCAAAGTGTTTAAAAATTGCAACACAGCCACTCTATTTTATTTGAAGTGGTTGATTTCATTCAGTGTCGGAACGCGATACATTCGGCCCGGCAATGGCATCCAATTGAAGTGATTCCAGTAGGGATATTGAATCCCATGGTGCCCCCGTGATAATAGATTGACCGATGTGGGTGGTGTCCGCAAGGCCCGGTCCTTTCTTCCTTTGTTAGTCTATGAGGCCTGCTGCAGTTCCACGCATAAATTTCTGCCAATTTCGTCGCTTGCTGCATGGCAATTTGCCAATTATGACATACATGGACCGCGAGGGTGGGCCTATTTGACCATGCTGCTTAGACAATGTCGGCACTCAATTATGAGCTCGCGTAGACCGACATTCAAAATAATAAACGTAATCTAATCATAGTCTCAACAGCGAGCACAACATTAATTGACATCTTGTGGTTGCATTACAAAACCCCGGCGTTATTCAGCGAACGAATTGACAAATTGTAGGTAATATTTACTGACACTTCGTGATCCTTTTTAAATCTTTATGGGCGATACTTTTTTAGTGCGTTAAACTCAGGCTTACATTTATTTTAAAAGCGTGCATGTATCCCTGTATCGAGAACGACAGGTAAGGAGAGTGAATGTCAGAAGTTATCTCGTGTCGGTTACCACACGGGAGCTGATGAAATCTTGACAAAAATAACCCTGCTGGGTGCTGCACAGGAATGCGAATAGAGCGCAGATATTGGCTATAACAATATCCTTCAGGTCTGATGATTGGAGGCTCAAGACGGTGCATTAGTTGGAAATTGAATTATGATGTTACTGAAATGTAGAAGCAGGTTAGAATCATGACTCAGTCTGATGAATTGAGGCAGTGAATCGACGGTGCTGCTGGTATCTGTTGCATTTACTAAAGGCATTACATTCCGTGTTTCATCATTTGCTAAAGGCATGTCATTCCATGTTTCAGTCATGAAGAGACGTACACGTGGAGCAACGTCAACTGCTACGTGCATAACGTGGTGGTGGGGAAGCTGTGGGTGGAGCAGCAGGGGACCATGACCATCACCAACCACAAAACAGGTCAGCCGCTAGTGCTACACTGCACACTTTTAGGATGTAAGTCTACAGAGTTTGATGGTGCAGCGCATGAGCACGGAATGTGGAAAATATTTCTCTCGACGTTCCATTCACCGCTGTTATCGAGAAAAGTTTTATAAAGCGTATGCACCATAAGGACACCGTTTGTTTTCAAAAGCGAACCTTACGAGAGAGAAAAACAGCGGTGACATATTATGGATGCTGCTGGACTTTTATATCTACCGTATAATCTCGACATCTCTGCTGTAATTAACTGGACGGCATGCTTGATAAGTGAACACAATATTGCGCAGGCTAAGTTACATTCCAACATTTCTATGGCTTGATTACATCCGAGATGAGTTTTCTGTCAGACCGTGTTCACCAGTGTTCCATTCATGAGATCGATGTGTCTTCCTTTGTAATACAACAAAGGATTCTGTTTTTCCAGGAGATACGTGCACTCTCGTGTTCAAGTCATCTAGCTCCTCGAAGTCGTCTCATCGGGTAGAAGGCTTCATTCAAGACAGAAAGTAAGAACAGGACAATGTGACTATCAAGTGTTTTGATTATGATGATTGACCATAGATTTTTAATGGCTTGTTCTTGTTTGATGTATAATTTCCAGTGTGATTTAAATTTGTAGCACAGTCTCATGCAGCTGATGCAATAATCGATAAGACTGCGGCGCAGGGCTGTATAGTTCGCAATGTAATCCCAGTAATTTTCCCAGGAAGACGCGGCACCGGTTCCTCTACGGGAAATGGACTGAGTACCTGAGAAGCATGGACATTGAATCCTATGAAAACAATCTCTCTTTGAGCGAGCAGAGACTCGGGTAAGTCCCGAACTCAAAGTAATTTACAGAGTCATTGCCTTATAATAGCAGGATCTGGTAAATACATCCGATAGCGACTTCACTTATCCAGAGATTTACAGTCATTTGTTGGACCGTGTCATGAATATTCACTGGAAACAGATGCACTGTGAGGTTGTCTTTATATTGAACGCCAGAACAGGATTTGAATTGGATTCTGAATTGCTCATTGGTAAAGCAATTTTGATCTCGAATCCCGTCGAGTCTGACGTCATTGAGTCTGCTGCTGACGTCACTGGGCTTATCCCACCCACCTGTCCTATGACGTCACAGCTCGAGCCAGGAGACGGAGCGGCGTGCGGGTCTGTCGCCGATCCATGGGCCGCGGAAGATGTTCTCACGACTCAACAGCATCACTACGGCTCCGTTCCGCAGTCACTCAGATAGAGAGGTAAGGCGCTCTTACAGCGTGCCGCAGTGGGAGCTTATTTTGAGGAGAACAGGTGGATGATGAAATAACCACAATTAAGCGCTTTATCGCTTACAGTCCTTATGGGAGGAACATTTGTGCTAAAATAAATGCCTAAATATATAATCATTCCACGACTTTTCCTCCTTTCCAAAACAATTTTAATAACAAAACTATAGTGCTTTCAAATATATCTGCGACAAGCCTTCATCGGTACACCAATCGAAAGACAAAAACATTTGCCGACCCGTAAAAATGTGTGTCACCAACGCGCCAAAATACGTGCTTAGATCACACTGCCATTGACATTGCCGCTCATTTTGTCTACCCATCACCAGTTGAACGTGGAGCATGACTCTCCGGACGACCCGTCGGCCGAAGGAGCCCTGAGCCGCAGCAGCTCAGGTCACTCGCTGGGCTCAGCCGGCAGCCGGACCCTGTGGCAGGCCGAGCCGCCGCCGGTGGACGCCCACAAGTACTACCACTTTACACGGTTCGCCATGTCGCTCAACGAGCTACTGCCCGATATGGAGCTCTGCAGGACCGACTCGCGGTAAGAAAATCACTGAGTGAGTGAGTGTGTGTGTGAGAGAGAGAGAGAGAGAGAGAGAGAGAGAGAGAGAGAGAGAGAGAGAGAGAGAGAGGGAGGGAGGGAGGGAGGGAGGGAGAGCCGATATGCATGTTTAAGGCAATGGCCGTAACCTTGTAGTAGTTGCACTTATAGTTTTCTTGACTTGTTCTTTAAGTTTCCTGAACTTCTGTAGATACATCACGTTGTCATGTGACCCTGCGGTTTTCCCGTATCTTGATGGCTGTTTGCCGCTGAACTCGGGGGTGATCTTGCACTGCCCAATATGGCAACTTTGGTAAAATGGCCAACCACTAAGTGCCTGAGTTGTGGCTGGATGTCCTTCACCAGGATTACGTCACATTTCAGATAATAAATTAATGACAATGCTCGAAAATTAGCAAATGTAAAGCTCATACATATTTCAGCACAATCCATCAACTCGGGCCATATTTCTCAGATGATACCCTGCCTGAGCTTCTGATTTCCCACCCGCGCCTTTAATCCTGGATGCACCACTCTGCCGCTGTTCCAGAGAAGACATGGTGCTCGCTCGGCACCTCTGTGGATTCACTCGAATCGCAGAGGATCAAAAGTCATAAATATGGATGTCACTGTCTGGCTGGGGAAATCACATTATGAGCGTCCCTGCAGAAGTGTTCCCTGCGGCCTCGTGACGCCGATCTCTGTCCGCCACCCGCCGCCAGTGGGACTGATGGCCTGTCGGGCTGAGCCCTGGTGAATCTGAACAGTGAACAGAATTGTGAATAGCAGTGCAGCGTGATAAGTGGGAAATCTTGTAATTATCTATCTAGTCTGTTCCACAAACTTTTTACATTTTGTTGGTGCCGGATGCACGACTGAAAATTTGAGATGCGTAGATTCGAATATCGTAGCGAATTGAAACTGAGAAAATTTATCATACTGGTATAACATATTCTAAGACATTCTTTGATAAAATGTTCTAAGAATACAGATAGATAGGTACCTCTCTACGTTCGTCACTTTCCATGCACTTAGTGCAAGGGCACGGCACACTGTCACACTGATCATAAAAAGTCCACTGTCCATTAAGCGACCCGCACAGTCCACCAACTGACCCCCAGTCCGCCAACCAACCGACACCCTTCCAACTACCCACACAGCTTCCCAAGCGACCCAACTGACCCAACCTTCCCACAGTCCACCGACCATCCCACAGTCCACCAACTGGCCCTCAGTCCGCCAACCAACCGATCCACAGTCTTCCAGCTGACCCACACAACCTTACAAATACCCACACAGCTTGCCAACTGACCCAAGTGAGCCACAGTCCGCCGACCATGCCACAGCCCAACAAACACCAATTGTCCCACAGTCCACCAACCGTCCTACAACCCATCAACCCTCCTAGACTCCACCCACCGTCCCCAAGCCGACCCACCAGCCATACGCCCCTAATTACCTCGTTACGGTCCGTTCAATGGCCGTATCAAAGCTGCAGCGGCCGCAATGACGACCGCTGGGTCGGTCGGCCGGTCGACCGGCCGGCCGCGCCCATACCAGCCAAATCGAGCCGCTGTCGCCGCCCCGAACGTATGCTGAATACTGCAGATATAGCCGCAGAGCTGGAGCTCGAAATAGTAACATTGATTACATAGGATGACAGATGCATGCAGGGGATAGTGGGCTTACACAAAGCTATTCATGACAGCAGGTCTGTGTTATCTTTGGCACAACTAATAGAATTCCTGGATATGCCACTGTATCGTACTGGCCGAAAGGTATTATTAGCTTCTCTCTCTCTCTCTCTCTCTCTCTCTCTCTCTCTCTCTCTCTCTCTCTCTCTCTCTCTCTCTCTCTCTCTCTCTCTCTCTCTCTCTCTCTCTCTCTCTCTCTCTCTCTCTCTCTCTCTCTCTCTCTCTCTCTCTCTCTCTCTCTCTCTCTCTCTCTCTCTCGCTCTCTCTCTCTCTCTCTCCCTCTCTCTCTCTCCCTATCTCTCTCTTCCCTCTATACCTCCCTCCCTTTCATCTCCAACTTAAACACTTAAATCATTGGTTCATTTATGCTTGGTTTGTCGCCATATTCTGACGAATCAATCAGACTAACTCATTATTTTTAGGTTTTCAGCGTCGCTAAATCATGCTTCTGGTGTGTTAGCTGCCACTGATAAGCATCGGGCCCACTAATTTCTTGTTAGTTTTTCAATGAAAAGATGAAAAGAGAAAAACAACTAGATGTAAAACATAACTGAAAATAGCTGGGCCGGCAAAAGCTACGGCCATTCGCCGGCCACTGCTCCACGAACCGGGAGGAAGCGAGCGACTGGATAGGTAGACTGCACCGCACGGCACCAACTGGCACATAGGCTGTGCCGCCGTACACCCACCGCCCGGCGTGACTGTGACGGCTGTGTGTTGCCGGCAGGCTGCGGCCGGACATCAGAGCTCTCGAGTCGGGAGACACGGAGAAGGCAGGCGCTGAGAAGGCGAGGCTGGAGGACAAGCAGCGACGCGCTGGGAAGGCCAGATCCAAGCGCAAACAGGCGTGGACACCGCGGTAAGTATCCCGGCCGGGCCGTGTTGGTGGATGCTGCGAGTGGCGAGCCACGCAGAGTGCTTATGTTGCAAACAATATAGCTACAGCAAATTGAGTCAGTATGGCTGCCATCCATTGCGCCATCCGGTTCCACATTCATGTACTTATAAAAATTTCAGTAGGTGGAACTATGGTCATGAGTACCCAAATATAGGAACGTTCCCATTTTTGGGAACGGAGTTCCCAAATATGGGAACGGGCGTTCCCATTTATGAGAACGGAAGGTAATTTTTCGGCCGTTCGCCCACTAAAACTCATTAGTGCATCACATCTCAAAAAGTGCACGCTAATTCAAGTATCTACTAAGTCTCTATAAAATTATCCTTAATCTGACCGTTGCACAAGGAAATTGACCGTCGAATGATATTTTTAATGATTTTTTGAAATGACGGAATGGTGAAAACATGGGTTATACTACATTTAACATGCAATTTTAAGGAAAATGAAGCGTTTTTTACAGTTTGAGGTCAAGTATAATAATTTTCGCCTGGTTATGAAGTTTCATACTAGCGACACCAGACGCTGACATATGCAAGCGAACACGCGGACAGTCCCGAGGTAATATTGTTGACTTTTGGTGTCGGGGCGCACGACCGCGTGGAACGTCAGTGATTTTACCGAACTACTGTTGTAAACTCAATTTCAGTGGTTTAAAATTATTCAGCTGTGTTTTATCAGTCCGGAAAGACATATTTTATTTGGATGCCAGCTGTTAAGCGTTGTTTTATAAGGAGCGTCATGAGCGTGGTTTTTGTCTTCCGTGTTTCTAAGCATGATCGTTTTGGGGGAATTTATCTTATATAGGTCGCTCTGTGTGGCTTATTTATAATTTTTATGCTGATTTCGATCATTCCTCGTGCCCATCCTACCAGGCCTTTTGCCACTTACACTCATTAAGAAAGGAAAAAAACTAGATTTTCATTGGGACTAGGTGTTTTGAGGGTGTAACATATTCAGCGTTCCCATTTTTGGATACTTTCTTGTGCTCGTCAACTATCGGTGATAAGCAGACAGGTGCTTGACATGTCTCCACCCTCGGCGCGGACGGTGGATATAGGTATGGAAGACCTTGTTGAACATCGCTGAGCGTTGTGAATTGCGTATTCCTGCAGAGGGGGGCGTGCCCGCTGCGAGATCGACGGGAATAAAAGCGCAGAAGACCGGGCGAAACATGCGACGGTCTTGCCGGAAAGGTCATCTGATGATTGTTGCGTTAGCAATAATTTGCGGCGTTGGACGTGATGCTTGTTAACCCGGCAGTTGCTGGGGTATTTCGCCACCCACCGTTTGCTGGGGGGGGGGGGCGTTATACGCCCCCAGCCGATAACTCGAGAATCAATAGGCGCAGCGAAACGCACGAGGCGGCAAACGAAAGAACGCGACGAGACGCTTCAGATGAGTACTTCAAAGTTGATTTTTGAGGTCACAGGTCGGGTCAAGGTCAGGTCAAACACCTGAAATCGGGCTTTCAGTTAGAGGTCTGCACCGGCCGGCTGCAGCCGCGGCTGGCTGCAGCCCCACGGCTGTGGGCCGGGGCGGCTGCAAATATCTCCAAGAACACGGCTACGGCTGTGGCCACGGCTGTGAGATTTCAAGCTCAATCTTAAGTACTCAAATATGAAATTTTAAATCCTTAATCTTACATTCTGATAAGCAGTCTAGCCTGTAAAAATCATGCAAAGGATGCCCAGCAACATTGAAAGTGGTGAAGCCTTTGAAAACCTGTAATGGTTTTACCATTTGCTGTAGGGGAGTTTGCACTCTGGTACAGAATACTGATTATAGGTACCAATTGTTCCTTCATCATCAAGAGCTTGTTGTTGTTGTTGTTGAAGAGTTAGGGCGCGCATCATCAAGAGCTTGACAGTTTCAGAAAAAGCAGCATGTTGCATTGTCACATCCCTCTCAAATCAATCTCACCTGGTCATTAGTTAGGAGAGCACCTTACAGCTATTGAAGACGAGCGTTCAATAATTCTTTCAGGTAATAGAAAAAGAAATCACGCCTAGGTAAAGGCAGGTAAAGGCTTCCTAAAATATTATCTAAAATAACACTCTTAGATGTATTTCTGGATTTTCGGCAAGTCCAATTACATAATATAAAACTGGCGCTTTATGTTCTAACTGGTGTGTGAGTGACCGCTAACAGAAAATGCTGATCAACGAAGCCAATGGAATTAGATTATAAGTGAGCATGAACCTTACTTACGGTTAATTCACATGATGGTGAAAACCCTGAACACGTAATTCACATGACGGTGAAAACCCTGAACACAACATTTCTTACGCGAGCTGTTGACTTTACTAATAAAATGACGTCTTCTTCTGAAAATGTTAAAATTTGATACCTAATCTTTGTTTGAGAGCAATTTTTAAACTGTAGAGCATTATTGTTTATTATTTATAGTTTTCATGGCTGTTAATGGTGACACAAAACAATTTATTGCCACTTCTTTGCTATTGACGTCATTAAAACTCAAGTAAAATTTTTGATTGAAAGAGGCAAATGTGGCTTGCACGTCCTTGGGGATTTGAGCGAAGATCATTATTTGGAAAAATCAAAATAGATGAATGTTTTTCTTTCTTGGATGCTCACTAGTGTTTTGATGCCTTGCATATCAAAATAGTTTGAGACTTGCTCAGAAGGCTGCTTCAAGCCTGGCATATCACACCCCAGAAAATATGCAAGGTAAGAAAGAAGCAAGAGGTTTGACTAGACAATCACTTTTTGACAGTCCATCAACTTCAGTTTCATTTTCCACACCTAACATTGATAATGAAAAGCATCAGGGTCTGTTGTTCTGTCCCACAACCATGCTTCAGGATTTGGCATTAGATGTCTACACTGCTAGTGCTTCTATTCTGGTTCGTTGTTTGTGTTTTCTGATGATGTAGGTACCTACCTATCCATCTTTCTTAACCCCTTGCAAGGGCTTGTGGAGGCATGCGTTGCGCATCAGGCTTCAGGCCTTCGGCCTAAAGCCAGATACACAACCACTTAACCTATGATGCTTCATGAGCTTGAGAATCTATAGCCCATTGCAATGTGCTTTTGGCTATATGTTTCAACTAAAAAACAACTTATGATATACTATTTGGTTGCATTTCATTGAAAGTATCCACGGCCGGCTGACGGCTGGCTGCCCACAGTTTGCCACGGCTGTGGGCGGCTGTGGCTGTGGAGCCACGGCTGCGGGGCGGCTAGGCTGTGGAAAATTGCAGCCGTGCAGAACTCTACTTTCAGTAGCATGGATTTCAGGACTTCGCAATGGGCGTCTCTCGTCATAAACTCTGTTAACCCGCGCCCTGCTGGGGGTCCTGGATTTCCACGCCCTGCTGGGGGGGGGGGGGTGTTTGAACACCCCCCCTTGTAACTCGGCTCCTGGGTCACGTAGCGATACGCAGAAGGCGGCGTTCAAAAGAGCGTAAAAAATAATCACGAAATCACTTCGGTCAATTTTTTGGTCCGGTCAAAGGTCAGGTCACCAGAGGTCATTGAAGGCAAAATTTCGCCGATTTCCAGGTCGAATGTCGAAAATTTCCAAGAAGCCAACGCATAACTCGAGAACCAATAGAGCTACAGCGCCGCGGAAAAGCGCATTCGATAGCCCTATTAACGCCCTTTCTGAATAATTCTCTCAGATTTGACCTAACGTCAACGGTTTTGCCTGCAGGGGGCAAAAACTGCAAAAATAGCCGATTTTTTCGAAAACAGTTTTTCTGCAATAACTTTTGACCCAAGCCTTGTACGAGCTTACTTTTACCGGCATCGTGTTCCTCTCGTCAAGACGCATCGAATGAACTATGACTTGACCTTGAAAGGTCAACTTGAAAATTTGACCTCAGGTCAAGGTCATGACCTGACCGGAAAGGGTCATGTTGCATATCAGTCGATCCGTATCGTCGAGCTGAACACATCTAAGGCGTTTTCATCGCTCTAGCATGCCTCTATCAAAAGTTATTTGCGAAAAACTGTTATATACCATTCGTGACCTAAGATGGCCTCAGGGCATAAACAAGGGTCACGGACACCATTTTCAAGTTCAGTGTGTCTAAACCACTTGTAATTCGGTGTTTGAGAGTGTTTATAATGTCTTTCATCCAAAAGAGGCGCATTTCAATTTTCTCCCATTGACTTATAATGGGGAGGTCACAAAATTGACCTGACCTTAGGTCATCGATATCAAAATTCTGAGATATACATTTTGTACATGCTATTGCTCTTAGCAATCGCTGTAAGTTTCAAAGCGATCGGTCACTCGGTGTAGCTATGACAGACATTGAAAGTTTTATGAGGTGAGGTCACTTCAAGTGACCTGGTGACCTGACCTTGAATGACCTTGGTCTGAAATTTTCACAACATGTGTAGAATTGATGTATGGTAAGGTGTACCAAAAACGGCGGCGCTCCGCGCCGCCGTTTTTGAGATATTCGCGAAAAACCACAAGGGGGGTGTTCAAACACCCCCCCCAGCAGGGCGCGGGTTAAAACGGTGCACAATCCATCATATAAGGCCTACAAGAGTGTCAGCTCCATGTAGGGGTCAATCAAGCATAGGTCAGGGTCAAGGTCAGGTCAACCGGGTAGGCACATATCCCCGAAAATCAAAACTGATAATCGCAGCCTGTGACACATGTTTTATGGGTAATTTGGGGCGTAGAACACGATGGTCACATTCATTTTATCATATGTGTACAGTGTGTCTAAAAAGAATGTACCGTCGCCACTACGTGGCGCTGGTGTCGCGAGCCGGTAGTTGGCTGAATCCGCACCAGACCACACATTCCCAGGCGCTAGGTGACAGCTGCGCAGCGGCCGGTAGTAGCGTAAGCCCGAACCTTCGTGACACGACCCCGGGGGGGGAGGGAGGGGAGCGGGCGGGGCAGCGCGTGTAGGGAGGGGTGCTCCAGCAAGCTGGCAGTTGTCGCGGCCAAAGGTCAAGGGGTCACACACCAAGCGAAC